GCCTCCCGTGTGAATCGGAAGTGCAAACGATACTGCTCCTGAGCCAACACTGGCAAACACTCCCAAGGAGATGCATTCATCGCCGATGGCCCAAGACCCTCACTTAACTTTTTCCGCCATTCCCACTTCTCTACAAGGTTGTGGTTCGCCTACAACAAGACAAAGCTGATGCCATCGTTATAGCCCCTTGGTGGCCAAGACAACCCTGGTTTTCAGTCCTTCACAATCTCTCATCAGACATTCACCACCTCCCTTGCCTGCCCCACTTGCTCACATGGAACAATGCCCAAGTACTCCACCCAGACTTACCTGTTCTGCACCTGGCAACGTGGAGGATTCCGCCTCACTAATTAACGTCCTCCATCAATCAAAGAAGCCCTCCACTAGAAAGGCTTACCTGTGTAAATGGAAGAGGTTCAAGTCTTTCACTGAAGCTTCTTCATTGCCTTCTAGCAACCTGTCACTTGCTACTGTTCTATGTTTTTTGCTTCATCACAAGTCTATCAGCCTTTCCCTCTCTTACTTGAGAGTTTGCATCTCCGCCATAGTTTCTTATCAGCCCCCTAACTCTCCAGCAGCTAATTTCTTCAAGCATCCAGCATTGAAAAGTTTTCTTAAAGGTCTATCTCATATCTACCCAGATACCCGTCCGCCTTCCTCACAATGGTCACTAACACTGGTACTGCAACAACTTACTAAAGCTCTTTTCGAACCTTTAGCTTTAACTGATTTACGGCTACTTACCTTTAAAACAGTTTTCCTCATCACCTCTGCTCAACAAGCTAGTGATTTAGCGGCTTTACGACACGACTCTCCTTATTTACAGTTTTTCCCAGACAAAGTCAAACTATCCATGGATATTTCTTTCCTCCCCAAAGTTACATCTCAGTTCCATCTCTCTCAGCTGTTTATCCTTCCTTCCTTCTTCCCATCACCATCCACAACTCAAGAAAGAATCCTCCATACTTTAGACGTTAGGCGAGCACTTGCCTTTTACGTCCAACACACCCAAACTTTCAGGCATTCACCTCGACTTTTCGTAAGTCACCAGCCACCTACTAAAGGTCGCCAGGTGATGTCTCAAACTATATCTAGGTGGGTCACTTCAACCATTTACCTTGCGTATCAGCTGGAACACAAACCAGTCCCAAAGGTGATTTGCCCTCACTCCACCAGAGCAGTGGTGACCTCTACAGCATTCCTACATGGTTTACCTCTTCCAGACATCTGCACCTCTGCCACCTGGGAACAGCCATCCACTTTCATCCACCATTATAGACTTGATCTCTGGCAGAAGTCTGATGCAGCCTTTGGATGTGCTTTTCTAGCCTCTACCTTGGTGTTACACTCTGCCTCTGAGTAAGACAGCTTTTTAGTCATCCAGGGTGTGATTCACAGAGGCCACAAAGAAGAACGGCAGGTTACCCACCTGTAATTGTAGTTCTTTGAGTGGACCTCTGTGATTCACACACCCCACCCATCCTCCCCACTGTCATGGCATTCTGCTTAATATAGTGGTGGTTGACACAACTGAAAGGGGACGCTTGGTGCCAAGGTACTTATACGAGGGGGGAGGGGTCTTATTCTAATGTGTTTTTTAGTACCGCAGAAGCTCTAGAACTTTCCAGTTCGGCTCCGTGCAGGTGCGGATCACCCAGGGTGTGAATCGCAGAGGTCCGCTCGAAGAACTACAATTACAAGTGGGTAACCTGCTGATGTCAAGTATTCTGTGAACTCTAATTTGAGAATGAAGGCATTAATGTTTCTTTCTGGAGCTAATCATATACTATACACACTTAGGTTTAAAAGAGCCATTTTGACATAGTAGAATGTTTAAAAGATGGTCAGGATCCATGCTAAAATCCTGCATACCTGTGAAGTTTGGTGGCTAACTCTGGACTAATCACCATATCTTATTCTGTCGTGCGTCATTTAGGTGGTTGGGAGGATAAAAGAAGGGAGAGAGGAAGTAATGATGTTTTGCAGGAGAAGTGTGATTATAATGACAACAATTAGTAAGAGTCGCTTTTCTCATTCATTCATAGGTCATCCCGGCCAAGACTTTGACTGGGCAGACTATCTTAAGCAGTGTGGAGCTGAGGCTGCTCCTGAAAACTGTTTTCCCTCAGTGAGTGTTCACATTGTCATAAAATGGAGAATTACTGGACGTCTAACGCGTTTAAGCAATCACTTCCGAACACATTGTAAAGTCTAAATCTAGAGAGTGGGTAGCTAGATATCATTCCAAAATGATATGTGAGGTGATACGCTTGTGCCTTGACTATGCTACTCAGAGTGTAAAAAGGTTTCACCTGATGGAACTAGGGGGGTGAAGTTGTTGAATTTTTTTTGTTTGGCTTTTTGTTTGTTTTTATTTGTTTTGGTTTTTTGAGGCAGAGCACTGTATCTGTGTGTGAGGTCAGCAATCTTTCTACCTGCCATCTTTATTTTTTCATGTTCTGTCTGCCACTTCTGTCAAGCTTTCTCTTTCATGTTTTCTTGTACAGTGGTGCCTCGACTTACGAACTTAATTGGTTCCGGAAGATAGGCGTAAGTCGCAATGATCGTAAGTCGAAGCACCATTTCCCATTGAAATGCAATTAATCTGTTCCAGCCGAAGAAAAAAATCACCCCAAAAAAATCACTGGAAGACTCATTGGAAACGCGATTACTCCCTTCTGGCCGGGAGGGGGGGGAGGTGGGGAGGAAAAAAAGCAATCAAGCATGAAAAACCCATCGGAAATGCACAGAAAACAAATGGATCAGATCAGAAATGCACAGAGAACAAAGGGACCAGGTCAGAAATGCACAGTAAACAAACGGAGCAGATCAGAAATGCACAGAGAACAAAGGGACAGGATGGAAATGCACAGAGAACAAAGGGGCAGTTTGGAAATGCAAAGAGAACAAAAGAAAAGCAAGGGAAGCATTCAGACCCCATCAGAAATGGGAAAAAACACTCCAAAAAGCAACTAACTCCCCCAAGAACCATCAGAAATGGGTGGGACCAAAAAACAAACAAGCCCCCCCAAGACCCATTGCAGCACAGAAACATAACCCCCCAGCCCCAAAACCACGCTGCAAAAAGACCCAGAACAGTTTTTTAAAAGCAGGAAACAGCACCTTACTTTACCAGGCAGCCTTCTCCGATCGCACACTCTAACTGCTCGGGTGAAAGAGCTACAAACAAGCAGCCTCGTCACCACCTACAGTTAGAAATTTGAATTTCTCGCCTTTTTTCCCCTGCCCTTTTCTGTTCGTAACTGGAAGCTCCAGCCGCAAGTCGAAGCAAAATTTTACGGCCGGAGCTGGTTGTAACTCGAAATGGTCATAAGTAGGGACATTCGTAAGTCGAGGGACCACTATATTGTTTTGTGCTTTTTTATGGAGATTCAGGGAGGAGCCTGTTTCAGCTTTAAGTATTGGAAATTGTGGCTTAAGCACTGTGTTTTCAATGTTGTTTTGTAAAAAGTACCCCTTTAAAAACATTTCTCTCCACTAAAAATTCACTTAGTAGTCTAAAAGGTGCTATGCTTTGTAACCATATAGTATTTTGAACTTATCATTTGATTTGGATTCCGGCACTGAAAAGGGGATTGGACGCAATGGCCCTAGAGCCCTCCTTCCAGCTCCATTATTCTATGATTCCACGAGTCCTTGATGAATCCTCCCAAGGGTCCACCTTTGCACTAGGACAATAATGTGTTCTTTGTAATTTGCACATAGTTGATGCTCTGAAAACTGCACCTTCTGCTTAAGCACATGTGCTTAGGTTTTTGTTTTTGTTTTAGCTGAATTCTGACCATGGTTTCAAAGAAAACATGAAACTTGAAGCTGTGAATCCACAAGACCCAGAAGAAATTTGTGTTGCTACCATTACAAAGGTGAAGGATTCCTATCTCTGGCTACAGCTGGAAAGTAAGTTGTTTCTTGAAGGAGAGATGTTTTGCATTTGGCTTGTGTTCTGCAAGTGTGTTGACACTGTTGCCTTTTCTGAGCACCATCAGTTATTGAAAGGGAACTAAAGAGGGTTCCGAAAGCAGATATGAAGAAAGGCTTGTACAGTGGTGTCTCGCATAGCAAGGTTAATCCGTTCCGGATTAACCTTCGCTATGCGAAACCATCGCTGTACGGATCAAAAAAAGCCATAGGAATGCATTAAACATCATTTAATGCGTTCCAAATTGGCAGAAAACTCACCGTACAGCGATGTTTTCCGGGTCCGGCAGCCATTTTCGCACCCTCAGTAAGCGAGGGGAGGGCGCAAAAATGCTGTGCACGGCCATTTCGGCCGCAGTGAGACCGCGGATCAGCTGTTCAGCGGCTTCAAAATGGCCGCCGGAACAGCCGAAAGGGCCGGGCACAGCGTTTTCGCGCCCTTGGTAAGTGAGGGGAGGGCGCAAAAACGCTGCGCGCAGCCATTTCGGCTGTTCCGGCAGCGTTTTCACGTCCTCCCCTTGTTTACCAAGGGCGCGAAAATGCTGCGCCCGGGACTATTGGCTGTTCCGGCGGCCATTTTGGACCCGCTGAACAGCTGATCCGCGGGTCGCAAAGTGACGGTCGGTAAGCGAAACACTTACCGATCTTCGCTATGCGAATTTCGCCCATTGGGGCCGACGCGATGCCTTCGCATTAGCGATCCCGGAAAAGGGATCGCTATGCGAATTCATCGCTGTACGGGGCGCTCGTTAAGCGAGGCACCACTGTATTTCATTTTCATCTCTCATCATCTGTCCTGCTTAAACTAGTAAAAAAGACAATCAAAACCTAATGCACTGTCAGATTTCTGTCCATAGGGTTTCTTCTGTCTGTAAAATTATTCAAATGTGTGGACACAAACAAAAGCATTTAGTGTATGCTTTTCTCTGTATAACTAGTGGTATGTTCTAATATTTGTCAGATCACAACAAAGAGAAAGGTTAGTACAAATATTTACTTGTTTGCTGACATGTTTTAACAGGTTCTAAAATAGCAGTCCCTGAATGCATAGTGAGTGTGGAATCCATGAATATATTTCCAGTTGGTTGGTGTGAAACGAATGGATACCAGCTACGACCTCCTCGCAGAGCAGTAGGTATGAATAATATGATTACTATAATGGAAGATAGAATGCTTTGTGGAACTCAGCAAATTGTTGTACTTCAGAATACTTTATTCACATTTTTACATACAGTAATAATATGTTTTGTAGTATAGTGTAACAAATGGTTAAGAGCCTAGAAATTAGAGTGTGGGAAGTTGCAAAATACCTTGAACTAATATTTTCCTAATCTAGAAACAATTGGTAAATTGCTTTTAGACTAGGATTATAAATCATTTCAGGAATGGAATTGAAGATAAACAAGTTTATTAATTCAGAAAGAAGGAATTGGGCACCCAGACTCAAAACCTAAAAGTTCCCTTTCTTTTGTTTTGTTCTGTCCTACTTAATTATTCTTAGATGACAAAGGAAATGAATGCCTGCTGTCCTGAGACAGTTGCAAAATACAGCTATAATTTGTAGTCTGTCCAAATAAATGCTGAGAGTCTGCATGTAAAGGGGTTGTGATGGCTGTGCATTGTCATAGGGTACCTTTTTAAATGTTATATTAACTCTTCATTGTGCTTCATTTTGACTTACAGTCAACAAGGAAAAGAAAATTGCAGTAGTCCAACCAGAGAAACAGTAAGTATTAAACTTATTGGTCATTGTTAACAGTAGCTTGTTTTGGAGAACTCAAAACGTTGAAAGATCATAATTCCAATATGGAGATCAACAACATACACCTTTTTACAGATGTTTGAATGGTGTTGATGTCTTTCATATTATGGTAACCAAATCAGGAAGCTGATTTCAGCTAGAAACTGAAAACATTTGTTCTTTCCTTTGAACTAACCACAGTGATGTGTGACATCTGAACCTGGAACTGTGGTTTATTTAAATTGGGCTTACACAGAGCAACCCAGTATTGTACCACATTTTCAGATCCTGACTTGCCCTCAAATTCTAGCTGAAGGAAATAACAGTTCCCCAACTCGAATCTGACATCATAGAAAAGTCTTGCTTGTTTAAAGCTGAGAGTTGTCCCTCCTCATGGGCAGAAAGAGGATGAGGACTTGAAGACTGCTCATTGTAGCTTATTCTCACAGAAGGAGCCATTACTTCCTGATATATTGAACTGAACTCAGATGTAATCCCTCTTCACCTTTTTAAGTGCTAGTAAAACCAGGAACATTTGTTTTTCTGATTGTAAAGTATTGGGTGGGATATTATTACTTAGTTCTCTTTCCCTTTAAATCCAATAGAAGCAATGATAGGTAATGTTTAAAACATAGGGAAGGAAGATAAAGATCCAGTTTTTAAAGGGTCATTTCCTTTAAAAGTTTCCAAAGAAGTAACTTTCTTTGTCTGTCTTAGCATGTTCACAAAACTAAAGGGAAAATGGTGTCTGAAGAATCATATTTTCATCCATGAAAGCATGCATTGAAACAAAACGGTTGCTCTTTAAAGTGCCACCATATTTTGACCTTTTTTATTTTTTGGGGGGGGGATAAATTTTACTAACTTTGGGGAAACATGAACTTGTCTGCAGCATTGATGATTCTGTGACATTGATTGTTGGTGGCCTTGCAAGAATTTGATTTCATCTTGTAAGAACTCTGTAATACACAATCAAGATTGTGCTACTAAGGCTTTTGGAATAGAATTGAGTTGGCTCTTCTAATCATTGGATCTTACTGTCATATAATATTGGGGAGAGAGGTGTTAGTATTTATAATGCACCAGCCTGGACCCGAGCATCTAAGCTGCTGGGAACTCTGTTGCAAATTTTGATTCTGCTCTCCTCTCAGTTTTTTCTCTCAGGTATGCGCTGCTTTGAAAAGAGTAGGATAATTAGACATTCAGATTTATCAAATGATGCTATAATTACTGAGGAGCAGTTATGTCTTTAAACACCTCACCAGTTCCATACATTAAGTACCCATTGTTTGTAACGAGTGGGGTGTACCCTGACATGTGGAATCTACCCAGAGACCCACAGGGTAGGACACTACTCAAGGAGTGGATGACCAGTCACATAAGTGCTCATTCGCTACTTCACATAACCTGTGTGTGGTTGCCTTTATATGCACAGCTTTTGTGAATAGGATTCTGATGAGAGGCACTGTTGCTTCAGATACAATAACCAGAATCCTGTTAGCATAATCCTGTTAGCATAAGTGCAGTAGCATAAATCACAGTGGTGAATTGATGCTATTTAATGAGTTGCTGCTTGTGACCCTCATCAAGCACCAACTCATGTGATTTGGTAAGTGATAAGGAATAAAGCTGAAGGCTCAACTAACAGCAGTTTGTCACTGGAATTTGCACCAACATTAAGAAATGAAGAGCTGCCAGACTAAATATAGATATGATTTTGGCTTAATATTTCTTTTGTTATAGGATATTGTCTTCAAGGGCTGTTCATGAAGGACTAAAGAGCCAGGAACTGAACTCTGCTGACACCAGTAAGAAAGAAGTGTGTTGTGTGTGTCCCTGTGTGTATAAGTAGCAACCATAGAAATAGTAGTTGGACATTTAGGCTATAAAATATGTGTATGGGAGAGAGAAAGCACATGCATATAATGTAGATATATTTAGTAGTGTGACTAACAAAACATTAAAAAATAAAATATTATGGCAAGACACTTCAGCTTTTACCCACTTTGCTTATTCTGAATAAAGACATTGGGCAGTGCCTTCCAGAGTGGATGGATGACACTGGTCTGTTGTCCAGATTGTGAAGTATTAAGCACACAAATGCAGAAACTGCATTTGTGTGCCTAATACAAAATGATATTGTATTTGTGTGCCTCGTGGTACAGTGGTTAAAACTGCTGTACTGCAGCCAAAACTGCTCACAACCCAGGGTTCAATCCCAGGTAGCCAGCTCAAGGTTCACTCAGCCATCCATCCTTCCAAGGTTGGTAAAATTAGTACCCAGTTTGCTGGGGTGGGGCAGTGAGCAATGTGTAGCCTGCACAATTAACTTGCAAATCACCCAGAGTGCTTAAAGCCCTATGGGGCAATATATAAGCAGCACACTTTTTTAAAAATGTGAGTTGGTAGGTAGACAAATGGATAGATATAAATGTGAGGAAATTAATAGTTCTAAAATTGTATCTCAAGATAAGTCAAACATCAACATATTACAGAATATACAGTATAAAGGAAGGGAACTTTCCATTATATATCCAATATCAGTAGTGGACAGGTAATAACAAAATTTGGTGGGGTAATTTGAAACGAAACGTGAACATGAATTATTAGTTTTAAATGTCTAGAGATATTCTGCTGGAATAAGACTTTCCTAACAAACATTTATTTTCTTTGAACTCTTTTTGGTGTGCAGTGAGTGGCAGGGTTCTGCTTTGCAGACAATTGGCTATTCTATAAACAAATGACTGTTTGACAGTAAAGTTCCATATGTACCAGATGGCAAAATCTAATCATTTGCTAAACTGTTGAATGAATGAATGTTGGATAAGTACATCTGCTGCTGAAATAGCTAAACAAATCTACTTGTACTCTCTAAAATCTTATTGTGTGACTTGCAGTGTAGCAAAATATGCATTTGAGGCGCTCCCTAATATAAAGCTTTGCCAAAATGGAAGCTGCTCATTCTTGGATTTAATTGGTTTTTAAATGGAGAAACATTATGTCTATATAGTCTGATCTCCTCTGTATGTGTCAGTTAAATTAGAGCTTTAAAAGAAAGCAACTCTTTAGCCTAAACATAGCTAGCATGAAATTACTATTGGTATATTGATATATTTAAGTATCTTGTATCACAGAGGATAGTAACTTATTTTCCAGGCTTGAGCAATGCTCCTTGGGACTAATGATAGTCCCAGCTAGAAAAGATGCATTGAGCATACATAAGTAGTGATTAACAAGTCCCATTCATTTCATTGGTTCTATTCTGGTTGGACCTAATACCGGATTTCTCCCAGGAGGTTTATGAAGCCCCTGGTAGGCCAGTTTATCTGTGTAATGGGTTGTGTTCAGGCTTGTGGTATAGGAAAATGGTAAAACAACCAACCCACCAACATACAAAATCTGCATTTTTTTTACCTAAACCAATTTATTGTATTTCTTGGGTCAAGTTGTTGTCTCATTTTGCTGAATATGACTAATTAATCTGAAGATGACTAATTAAAGTGAAAGCTGCAAGATCAGTATCTACCAGCACTGTGTATTGGCTGGTGCTGAGCTAAACAGAACTGCTATCTTGAATTAGGTATATTTCCCAACCTCCTGTTTGTAGTGTAACAACAAGCAGGGGCTGAGAAAATTACTAGCAGGCAGAGGCTGAGAAACAGGATAAACATGTTTATCCTTTACAATTTAGTGCAGAAAACATTACCCACACTTGATTTGGCTGTGTGATATCAGATAATCAAATTTGACAGCCTTATGATTTAATTTCATCTGCCTTACAATAATATGCTGCGTCAGAGTGTGGTGGAGTCTCCTTGGAGGTTTTTAAGCAGAGACTGAATGGCCATCTGTCAGGAGTGCTTTGATGGAGTTCCTGCATGGCAGGGGGTTGGACTTGACAGCCACTGTGGTCTCTTCCAACTCTGTGAGTCTATGATTCTTCTTCGTGGCCTCTGTGAATGCACACAGTTGGGTTGTTCTGCTCCTGTGTATGATGTCTCAGAAGTTTCCAGAGCTTGAAGACATGTGATTAGTAGGCCGTTCTCCCGTGGAGCACATGCCCACCCTCCAAAGGTCCCCTCAGTTTCTTTTTATCGCTGCTTTGGTTGGACCTGTTTCGGAATGCTAGAGCTATTATTGAGGTCTTTACTGATTCTATGTACTGATTCTTCCAATCATTTCTTTCATTTTCTATTTTAATCATATCTTTGTTGGACGTTCTCCTGTAAGTTATCCCTTTTCAATTTACCTCAGTCCTTTTTCTCTTTAGCCACATTTTTTCTCTCTCTTTACCCCCCCAACCCCCATTGCCTCTTTTCCCTCCCTTTCCCCCCAACCTTTTATGGCCCCCCAGGGCCTTTCAAGTGGTGCATGCTTTGCACGAACAAGATACCGCTTACCGACGGCCACGACCATTGCCTTTTTTGCTTAGGGGAACAGCACCAAACACATTCCTGCCCTGAGTGTAAAAAGCTTACAAGACCTGCTCTGAAACTATGCCTACAAAGACTTCGCTCATACCTTTGGGAAAAGCCTCTCAATCCAGCCCCCATGGACCCACCAACATCTCCAACTCCGCATCCAGAGTGTCGAGAAACCACGCACCTGATATCGAGCCAGACAACTCCATCATCTCATCAAAAAGACCTTTTGAAGTCTGCTTCGAAATCGAGCTTGACGTGCACGTCGAAAGCTCCCATTCGTCCTGATGGCTCATCTAGGGAAAAAAAGGATAAAACTAAACCTAAAAAAACTAAGAAACCTACAAAATCGACTCAAATAGATCCTTGAGGAGTCAACTAGAGACACCCCTGGCTCGATTTCAGATAGAGACGATCAAACTTTTAACACCAGCTCAGACTGCAGCTTCCATCACCAGCCTTTCGCCAAGTACTGGCCTGTCTCCAGTTGATGTTCATTCCAGCCTGGCCTCGGCCCATTCAAGCCCTAGATCATCAGGGTGGGCAATACCTATTTAGGTCTCTGGTTCAGAATCGTCTCACCAGTCTCCCCACAAGTGCTGGGCGAGGAGATGACACCTTTCTCCAATCCAATACGCCCCTCCACACAGGGAAATTTACTATTATAATGAACTGTCTCGATACACAATTTGAGATGACTATGGGGATCAGTACCACCACTACGACCCCTATTACCATGAAGACCAGACTGAGCACATCTATTATGATGAACCAAGAACGTTGTTATGCCTCTCCACCCTAATACTCGCCTTCCATATTACCTTCACCGCCACGACACCAACATCGTTCATCCACGATGTATCCAACATCCACTCACCATACATTGATCCCTATGAAATCAGCTCTCAAACGCCCTCTCCTGGTACTGGATTCTCTACTACAATCCAAACAAACTAAGCACTCTTCCAGGCACTCTCGACATCATATATATCTCCAGGTCACCACCATCTACAAGGGACCCCAGTCCTCCTGACATCGAACAGCGCCTGATATCAAGTGTACCTCCACCTCCACCATCACAACCATCTGCATTGCTAACCAAATCACCATCCCAATCACCATCCTCACAATCCTCTCTTTCTACTCAAGATTCAACATATGGTATATCCCAAGAATCACCCACTTAATTTACCAACTCCATCTTGTGGGTGCAAACCATCCACCATCTCCATCAGAGGATTTCACATCTTATTCTCAGCTAGTAATGCGAATGGCAAAGTCTTTACAACTGGATATCGAAGAACCACCATCTCAAAATAAAGACTTGGTCTTCGATATAAAATCAGGATATAAAATAACCATACAGGTCTTCATTCGAGATTAAGCAATGACTGCTCACTGCACAATTGCAATTCCCTTTCCTCAATTCTTCAATCAATTCAATAGCATCCGATATTTCATTATCTTGCAATTCCCATTATGATGACAGAACACACCACAGTTCTACTACATCTGCTTATGTGAATGATCCTGTACACCGCATGCAGATCATCTGCTGCTGCACTACAGTTTCACAAGTTACGTCTCCAAGACAATTAAGACACTTAAGATCCGGGTCTCTTACCATCACAGCATTGCTTGAATCTTGATGTATAGTACTTCTTCCCTTACGCTACCGATATGTAAGAAGAGCACATTCCTCCCTAAGTCACCACTTTTCATTCCAATCTTCAAAATTTGGAATTTCATAAGGACAACCAGCTCATGCACAACTCTCTTGCTTCTATACTTTCACCAAGGCATGACCCTTATCCACTAAACACTTTTGGTTCAGATTAACATGACCCATCATACCAACATAGGGTGCTGGTTTCCAAAAAAAAAAAAAGCCACACAGTTGTTATCAACCCTTATTGTACCATATGCCAGGTCCGGCTATCTGGCCAGTTTCTATTCCTCATTACGTCAACCTGATGAGTTTCTACACTTTCCTGTTTAAAGAAGAAGAAGGAGAAAGAGAGAGAAATTAGATTTCCTTTAAATAGACACTCTAATGCAGCCTGCTTTACTTATTTCCCTATTTAACAATGTGAAATATTCTTCTAATACAAAGAAATACTACAACTAACTACTAACCATTAAGATCACGCCAGGAAACACATACTTCATGGACTCAATCCACAATAAGGCAGGACTCAATCTTCTAATGGATTATTCACTGCTCTCAATTGATATTCCATCATATCATGCAACTCTACTCTCCAGGACTGAGACCTATTTGACATTAGACACAGCTTCATCTGCAGTGTATAATATCTGATCTGTTTACCCCAGATCACAAACCAAGGCTTCGAACCAAATATGATGATACCTCTCACCTAGAGGTTTTAAACCAGAGATGAGGACATGTGTCCTAGACAATTGAGCCAGAGATAATGACACCTCTGCTAGAGTTGGGTCTTCTTCACTTCTTCAGTGATGGCCTTCCACCTTTTAAGGTAAGCTGATCAATCACCCATTTGTGTGCATTCACAGAGGCCACAAAGAAGAAAGAGAGGTTACTTACCTTTAGCCGTAGTTCTTTGAGTGGTCCCCTTTGAATCCACACATCCCGCCCATCCTTCCCACTGGTGTCTTGAGCTGTGTTGGGAGTCATAGCCTGACAGCGGCAGACATTTCGGAACTGAAGTATTACGGGCAGGCAGAGCATGTGCGATTAGTAGGACAGTGTCCTACTAATCATGTCTTTTTAAGCTCTAGAATATTTCAATGAGTCCTGCACGGGCACAGTAAAACCCTCTGTGGATTCACAGAGGACCACTTGAAGAATTATGGTTACTGATAAGTAACCACTCTATTTCCAGGCCTTCTGGAAATCACAGCTCACAACCATCTAACACCTCAAGATTGGAAGCCAGTGCTCCATGGAGAGCCAGTTGGCCACTTCCAGCTGTACTTCTTTAACATTTTAAACTGTAGGTCTGGTTACAAGCTGATCTGTTTAATCCCAGGCAGTCCCCCCCCCATTCATGTTGCACCAAATCAGCAATGTCCAATAAATGAAAAAGGAAAACCTAGCTTTAGTGACCTAAGAATAATGTTTGAAAAATAGTGTTCCTTAGAACAAAACTTACAACCATCAGCCTCTGAGCAGAATCAATCTTGGATTATTTGTTTGGCACATCTCCTAGAAGTCTGTACAGTGGTGCTTCGACCTACTAACTTAATCCGTCCCAGAAGATGTTTGTAAGTCGAAATGTTTGTAAGTTGAATCAGCATTTCCCATTGAAATGCATTGAAACCTGATTAATCTGTTCCAGCTATTTTTTGTTTGTATGTAGAGGTACCGGTTGTAAGTCGAAGCATTAGTTCCCATAGAAACTAATGCAAAACCAGTTAATCCATTCTCTACCACTAGGGGGAGAATTTTTAAAAAAACCTAAGATGACTTAGGTTAGAAAAAGGGCAGCAAAGAAGGGAGGGAAGGAACAGTGGGGAAAAAAGGAAAGAAAAAAGGTCATCACTGGGGCACACAGACCCCTCAGACAAAAGTTTGTGTTTTTTAGCACAAAAGAGAGAAGACTGAGAGAGAGAAGACAATGGGGGGGAGAGAGTTTAGAGTCTAAAACAAATTTTAAACCCACACATGCTAAACCCACACATTTTAAACCAAACCCAGCAACGTTTAAACAAAATACATTTTAAAGCACACTAGCCAGCACAGATCCTTGCAAAAAACATTTCTGATTTTTAAACCAAAAGACTAAACTCCATTTTAGAGCACACCAGCCAGCACAGACCCTTGCAAAAATAAAAAAATAAAAAAAAATCCCCCAAGCTGCAAAAACCCTGTATGCACAGTAAATACAATGTGCTCACCCAGAACAGGCAGTCTCTCTGTTTTAAAGAAGAAAGTAAAAAATCAAAAATTAAAAAAAAAGCCAAAACACAATATGGTACATACAGTACAGTACCAGGCAGTCTGAAGTCTCTCTCTATATCCACACTCTCTAACCGCTGGGATGAGTGAGGTAGCAGATAAGCAGCCTCTTCGCTGGCCAATGGTTAATTGAAAGTTCAAATTTCCCACCTTCCTCATGTTTTTTTTCTTGTTTGTAAGTCCAAGCTCCATTCGCAAGTTGAAACAAAATTTTGCAACCAGAGCTGTTCGTAAGTCAAAATGTTCAAAGGTTGGGGCATTCGTAAGTCGAGGCGCCACTGTATATGCTTCAAATGATGGCCCAACCTACTGATGATGGCTTAGTTGATCTCCCCATTCCATAGATGCCTGCAAATTTGCCTGTCTGAAAGAAATACAAAAGAAGCCTCTCTTTTTTGTGCAGGATGGACTCTGGTTGTGGGATGATCAAGAAGAAGTGAATTCAAAAAGTAGCAATTTATCTGTCCATATTTACCAGCTCAAACATTCACCAACAGCAATAAGAAATGTAACATTCCAAGTACTTAATGCCATAGAATTCTAGTGCTAGAAGAGCCCTCCGCATCTTCTTGTGAGATCTTCCTTAGGATCCTTATGGAGATCAATATGTTTGTTTTCTGAGCAGCATAGAAGATGTAGCTGGAGAACTGCAAAGAAATCATAAGCAGAGCTAAGGTGGGGTTGGGGGATCTACTGTATGACTGGGTTGGCTAAAATAAATGAGAGACCATTGGTAATGGCGCAGCTAAAATCTCTTGTAAATAATTAGCCGCCTAGAGTGGTCATACTGACTAGATAGGCGGGGTACAAATTAAACAAACAAACAAACAAACAAACAAACAAATAAATAAAATGACTTTCCCCTTGAAATTCCCACTTTTGGCCTCTGAATTTTTGTTGATAAAAATGTAACAACAGAGTCTTTTGGTTTGCATTCTGGTGGATTTTTAATATTCTCCCACTCCACTACAATGTTTTATTCCCTAACCCTTGCTATTCCAGAGGATTCTCTGTTTTTGTGCAATAGCTTTCGGGGAACCGCTGTGATTAAGAGAAGGAGCCACAAAATCTGTATTGCGTGAACAGAGTTCCTCTCATGGTTCTAAATATGGGTATGAGCCCATATTTAGAAATTGACTTTTCTAAGGTGGACTGTTCTGGTTAAATAACAAAGTTTTAGAAACAGGAGTTAACTGTACATATTAATAGTTTTGATTTCTTCAAAATAAAAACTTGCCTGTGTAAAACTACAACTGTTGCTTTCACTCCGGCAGCTGAAATGGCATTCTGAATGCTAGCATGCAAGTGCTTATTTAAGCAGAGTGTTCTAAAATAGTTTTACTTTTCCAGTTGTAACAAATGGTAAATACTACTGTCCAAAGATCTACTTCAACCACCGCTGCTTCTCAGGCCCATACCTTAACAAAGGTCGAATTGCAGAATTGCCCCAGTCTGTAGGACCTGGGAATTGTGTCCTTGTTCTTAAAGAGGTAAGGGTGTTTGGATATCATGGCTCTATATTTGTTGCACCATTTGTTGCCTTCTTTTTCTTGCTCTGTCTCTGTTGTAGTCAAGCAGAAATGCACTAATGTTACCTTCAGGGGTAGTATAAAAATGTGTGATGTAGCTCCCCTATGCACATTAGATGATTTTTAAGGAAATAATAATCTGGCAGCATTGACCACTATAAGTGTTTTTCTTTTCCTGCTTGAATATGGTTTGCCTAATCTGCTCTTTTCTTTCTCCTGCTGTGTTAAATTTAGTTGTTGGTCCCACCTATACAGTAGTTTAATAAATGGAACTTGTTAAGCGTTTGTTTACGTCCCATTGATTCAGTGGGTTTGTTGTAGCTGGGACTAACAAGTGGATTTAACGCGTTTAAATTGTAGTACTGATTTAATTTATAATGTTAGTGTTCTGGAGGACTTCATTTTGACTTTAAAAAATGCAAAAGTGATATTTTATAAAGGAATAAAAGGTTCAAGGGAAAATTAGACTTCTGTTATAATTAATTCATTGTATGGCAGTAATGGCTTAGCGGCATTGTGGAGAAGAAACTGTATACCTGCCACTGAACCGTACAGCAGCAGGAATGTGCCCAAGGCATAGTACTAGATTTTGATAAGTCAGTAATTGGATCTGTTGTGACAAATCTATAGTCCATCTAGAATATCCTTTCTGCTGCATCTGAAATGTCTTTGGTCATTCCTTGTAGTGGCAGCTTTGTCAGATGCTGTGCAGTATCCATGATATGGAGGTGCAAAGCACTTTTGTATAATATTAAAAGAAACATTATATTTATTTTTCGGGATTATTTGCTCATTAAGTTGATGTATATTTTCTTCTATGGCTGCTTCTCATCTCAGAATAGATTGAGTGGGGCAATTTTTACTTGTGATATTTCAGTACAAGAGTAAATATTTTCCCTGAAGGCTCCATGACCAATCTTCCTGGTGTTCCTCTTTCCTTCCCTTTTCCCAGTAGTAGACTACGTATTTCCTATCAGCCTCCTTCCCTGCTGCTGTTAGTAGTACACGAAGAAAAAATGGTCAGCCTAAGGATTGCTGGCTGAGGGGATGGAGAGCAGGTCCCCATTAATTGTTGTGCAGATTACTCTCTCCTGTGAGGAAAGGGGAAGTTGTATGATTATCTGTGTACAGTGGTGCCTCGCTTAGCGATGTTAATTCATTCAAAAAAATCACTGCTAAGTGATCACATCGCTAAGCAAAAAGAAAAAGCCCATAAAAATGCACTAAAACACGATTAATGTGTTCCTATGGGCTTAAAACTCATCTTTAAGCGAAGATCCTCCATAGCGCCGCCATTTTCGGTGCCTCTAAAGCAAGGAATCCGTGCCTGAAAACAGTGGGCGGCCATTTTGTTTACCCGGCAGCCATTTTGAAACCTCCGATCAGCTGGCCGAAAATGGGGGCTTTGCAATGATCGCTTCCCTGCGATCATCGCAAAGTGAAATTCACCCATAGGGACCATCGCAAAGCGATCGCAAAAAAGCATCGCTAAGCGATTTCACCGTAAAACGGAACGATTGCTACGCGAGGCACCACTGTAGTAGGAAGGATCATTCCCAGGCTGGTTGCTCTTAAATTTAGGAAGAAGGTTGCTGGGAATGGAGGAGTGGACTACTGCATCACGTGTAGCCCTTGAGGCTTAGAAACATGTACACCTTAGCCTTACATTGCAGTAGAACGCCAAACCCTTACAGGCCTCTTCATTCTTTGGCTCCCAAATGAAACTAAATATGTGCTAGAAATTACTCGTATTAGCCGAATAAAATAAAGCAATATTATTTACTATTTATAAAGCAGTACTTGTGATGTTCCTTTAGCAAACTTCAGGGTACTACAAAATGATAATTAGGCTATATGGAGTGTTGGGACCTGGTGCAATTTGGCACCTAAGACAATCAAATACTAGATTGTTGGCCGCTCTTCACACACTGCTTATTTTAACTGTCTTTTTAACTTATTGTGCTTACATATTTGATGCTTTCTGTGCTGAAGTTAATTCAGACAAATAGAATTTATACTCGAAATCTTACTAACATGTAAAAATGAATGTTAGTGTACATGTTGATTAATGTTCTCACCTTCTTCTCCATTCTCCCATTTTTAGGTTCTGTCACTGCTGATCAATGCAGCCTATAAACCCAGCCGTGTTCTTAGAGAAATTCAGTTGGATGAGGAGGCTGCATGGCATGGAAATGGAGAGACACTGAAAGCAAAGTAAATTCTCTCTTTTGTATTGTCTGTATTATCATATAATACAGGTTTTATGTTATATATTTTTTAAACTTATTTTAAATTGTACAGTGGTGCCTCGCATAGCGATTGCTTTGTATAACGATGAAATCGCTTTGCGATGAAGATTTTGCGATCGCTTTCCAATGTTCCCTATGGGGGAATTTCGCTTTGCGATGATAAGTTCCCTGCTTGGGAAACGGATCATGGCAAAGCAATGGTTTTAAACAACTGATCCGCCCCGCAAGCAAGGCTTTTTAAACAGCTGATCGGCGCCGCACTACCCCCCCCCAAGCTCCTGCCTAAATAGTTCCCATAGGGAACATTGCAATGTGAACGCAAAAGCGATCACAAAAGAACATCGCAATGCGATCGCAAAATCTTCACTATGCTGATTCGTTGTTAAATGGGGTGCCCGTTAAGCGAGGCACCACTGTACATTGGCTACCAGTTGCTTGTTTTGACATGTAATTCAAAGTGCTTGTTTTGACATATAAATCCCTAAACGGCTTGGGCCCCGGATACCTGAAGGACCACCTCCTTCCATATGAACCTACCCAGCAGTTAAGATCCAGCCACGGGGCCCTTTTGAAAGAGCCGTGTCTCAAGGATGTAAGAGGGATGGCTTGTAGAGAAAGGGCCTTTTCGGCAGCTGCCCCCAGACTATGGAATGCCCTCCCGACTGAGATT